TGGCATTAAATCCCGTAATGTCCACCTCTGCCTACCCCTTCGGGAATAAAAGGCGTGGTGGTATATTTTTCAATCATTTTTATTTAGATAGCATAAAATTGAATTAATTAAAAATAACGGTATACTCACGTAATGAAAAAAGCTCTACTAATTTCGAGTCATAGAGGGGCTCTTACTCAAGAGCAGCGTGCGCGGTGGCGGTGACGTCGCGCAGCTTACTTTCTATAAAAATACGGCATCAAATTGAATGAATTCATTAAGTAAGGTGTATATTTATATTTTGATGTAACTGGTGATAGAGCAAGTACGCGCGTGTTATCAGGGTCATATGGTCACGGGATCGCGCCCCGGCCACTGATACTTAACAACTTGACCAGCGGCACTAAAGGACAACCTATTGACCTCAAATTGCAAAAATAAGAACAGGGGCAATGACTGCTCTATATATTTATCATTGTTTTATTAATCGGGACCATTTTGTGACGTCACATCTTTTGATCGAAACAAAATATTTTTTGTTATTATTCATCATTGTTGTCAAGAGTTTTATAACAATTAAATTTTATATGAATGAGCGAAAATATATGTAGATTTCTGATATCGTACTGATAAGGTTACAGTGGCGGGTACCTATGAGTCAGTTCATTATTGTGTGTGACCTTAGAGGCCACCCTATTATTCTGTACAACTTAGTAAACGATATCTATACAAAGTTTCTTACTGTGCATAATTTTATGCAAGTGATTGGGGGGACCGCCTCGTTGGCCTAGTGGTCGCAAGTGCGATTGGGCATTCTCTCTCTCAGTCTCGATTCCCGAGTCGAGCAAAGTATTACCGGATTTAGTAAAAAAAAATCTCAGTAGTAGCACGGAGTCTGGAACCGTGCCCGGTATATGGCAATAGGCTCACCCCCTATTACATGGGACTTATTAAATAAATAGTGAAAAGTAGGTGTTACATTGTACATTCGCATTAAGTACCGTAATGTGCACTTCTGCCTGCCTCATCGGGGATAAAAGATTGAGAAGTCTTGGTCTCGTTAATTATGGTACTATGGTATCCTCTAAATGTAGTACTCTGTGATTACTTAAGATGCTACGATATCAAATTTTTCATCGTCATTAGCCAGTAATAGCCCCACTGTCCATTGAAGGGATCTCTTCTCACACGTAGAAGCATTTAGCTATTCTTTATAATTTGAAATTATAAGGCTACCTTTACAGTCTGTTTTTAATGGGACAAGCTCACCATAACCTCCTAAAACCAACACCTTAGCTAGTAAGCCAGAATCTACAGTAGATACAACTATAAAAACTCCGGAACACTAAAGTCCGGCAAGTCTCAGAGACAAGAATAACTGTCTTGGTTCCTGCAACGAAATGAATCAGAAGATATTATAAGAGGAGAAG